CTTTGTGTGCATGTGAAGGTTTTAAATAACAGATTCTGTTTCTTTAACAAGTATAAGACTTTCAAGTTTTAATTTTTTCTTGAGTCAGTTTTGGTAAGTTCTTTCCAAGGAATTTGTCCAGTTTGTGCAAGTTGTCATGTGTTGGCATGTAATTGTTTATAACGTCCTCTCATTATTATCCTCTTAATGTCCAGAGTCTGTAATGAGGCCCCTTTTTCTTTTTTTTTTTTTTAGAAGATGTTGGGGGTAGTTTATTCATTAATTAATTTATTTTTGCTGTGTTGGGTCTTAGTTTCTGTGCGAGGGCTTTCTCTAGTTGTGGCAAGCGGGGGCCACTCTTCATCGCGGTGCGCGGGCCTCTCACTATCGCGGCCTCTCGTTGCGGAGCACAGGCTCCAGACGCGCAGGCTCAGTAGTTGTGGCTCACGGGCCTAGTTGCTACGCAGCATGTGGGATCCTCCCAGACCAGGGCTCAAACCCATGTCCCCTGCCTTAGCAGGCAGATTCTCAACTACTGCACCACCAGGGAAGCCCCCATTTTTCATTCTTGATATTGGTAACTAGCGTTTTCTCTTATCATTCTTGATCAGTCTTGATAAGGGTTTTATCAATTTTATTGTGTTTTGGAAGAATCAACTTTTGGCTTTGTTGATTTTCTTTATGATGCATGTATTTCCTCTTTCATTAGTTTCTACTTTTATCTTGGCTCTTTTCTCCTCCTTCCATTGAGTTTAAGTTTTAAATATTTAAAAAATATTCATCTTGAGATACATTTTGGGAAAAACAAATTATAAGGTAGATACATAGATGATTGATCTTTAAAGTCTTTTCTAGTACATGCACTTAAAGCTATAATTTTCCCTCAAAGTTTAGCTTAGCTGCATTCCACGAGTTTTTTGTTGTTCTTCCCCTAAATGTTCATATTTTTATTTTGGAAAAGTTTTACACCCACAGAAAAATGGAAAGAATACCCATATACACTTCACTTAGATTCACCAGTTGTTCATACTTTGCCACATTGTCTCTCTGTCTCTTTCTCGTGCTCTCTCACTCTCTCTCCATATATCTATCTTTCCACATATTTGGAAAATAAGTTGCATTTATCATGACACTTTATCCCTAAATATTTCAAACATGTATCTATTAAGAATAAGATTATTCTCCTATATAACCTTAATAGCATTATCACACTCAAGAAATTTAACCTTGGTAAAATTATAGTACCTAATACCTGGTCCAATTCAAAAATTTTCCAATTGACCCAATCTTTCTCTCTTTTTCTTTTTCTTCCTTTCTTTCTTTCTTTCTTTCTTTCTTTCTTTCTTTCTTTCTTTCTTTCTTTCTTTCTTTCTTTCTTTCTTTTCTTTCTTTCTTTCTTTTTCTTTCATCTTTTAATTTGAATTTTATTTTTTTATACAGCAGGTTCTTATTAGTTATCTATTTCATACATATTAGTGTTTATATGTCAATCCTAATCTCCCAATTCATCCCCCCCCACCCCCAACCCATCTTTCTGTTTAGATCCAGTATCCAGTGATTGTCATGTTTCTCTAGTCTTCTTTAATATAGAATAATCCCCTGCTTTAAAAAAAAAAAAAAAGTTGATATTCTGTGACATTAAAGAAGTCAGTTCAGTTGTATCAGTCTTTCTTTACAATCTTGGTTTATTTTTATAATTTATTTACGATCAGATTCAGGTTAAACACAATATAAGATAGGTATTTTGCCTTCCCGTTGTATCACACAAGAAGGAACACAATGTCAGACCCTCTCATCATTGTGATGCCAAGTTGGATCACTTCATAAAGGTGGTGTCTTCCAGATCTCTCCATTGTACGGGGTACCATTTCCCTATTAAATTAGTAACATACGGTTTGATACTTTGAGACCAGGCGAATATCCTTTTCTCAAACAACATTTATCCCATGTTTTAGCATCGATTTTTATCCTCGTCTCAACAGATACATTTGTGTTTGCAAAAAGGCGATTTCTAAACTAGTCATTTCTTCACCACTCATTGGCTGGCATTCTTCTGTAAAAAAGATCCCCCTTCCCCAACCCAGATATTCTTGAGTATTACTATTGACTCATGGATTATTTTAGTTCACTATGTTATAATCCATCACTTTACTCTTTCTGATGCTCAAATTGTCACAGATTTGACCAGTGAGAGCCCCTTTAAGCCAGCATCTATGTTCTTTTACAAGAATCCATCAGTCTTAGAGAATTTTCTTGACTTGTACACAAAATGTTCCAGGATCTATTCGTATATTCCCTCAGACCTGAAATCAGGAATTGGTAGAGAATGGTATTTTAGAAATGAAAATCTGGATGCTAAGAGGGTTCATTATTATTGGGATGCCATTGCTTCTAGGTAGTATCAGTGCATAGAACAAGAAAAAATGTAAAATCTCTGACACCTCCAGTTCAAATCCACTACGATGGGGTCTTCTGCATCTTTCTCCATCCCATCTTGTCTCTGCAACTATGAGAAGTTCCCAGCAATGTCCATATATTTACTTACTTGCTGTATCCCCAGGTACTCACAAAAAAGTTTCAGAATTACTTCAACAATACACTATGAACAATGAATCTACTAGAGAAAATTCAAGATGTCTTTGCAGAGGTTTTTTTTGTCCTTAAGATATATCCCATGAAAGATGTGCAGTTAATTAAGTTCTTTTTCCTGTGTGATTATGTTAACAGTTCAATATACTATTAGCTTAGTTTTTTTCAATTAAAATTCAATTTTAGGGTTTTCTTTTTCATCCTTTCTGTTTAATTTTCTTTCTGAATACAAGTCAGAACTGTATAAAAAGGTATTCTCAAAAGTCTCACTCTCATCCATATGACCTTTATTCTGTTCCTATTCTCTCTTTTAGACGAAATCATTTTCATTTGTTTTGGATTTATTTTTCCTGTGTTTCTTTTCTCTTTTTTCAAATGCATATGTGTATGTGTGTATATATATATTTTTTCTTTTCTTTTTTCTCTTTATTTCTTTTAAAATTATTTCTGTTTTTTGCAAAATATATCTCTTATTTTCTCTTTCTGATATATTTTTTGATACTAAGAAAGGTTTATATGTTTGTTATAATGGTTATAATTATATTAATCTTTTTTTTTTTTTTTTTTTTTTTTGGTACGTGCGGGCCTCTCACTGTTGTGGCCTCTCCCATTGCGGAGCACAGGCTTCCGGACGCGCAGGCTCAGCAGCCATGGCTCACAGGCCTAGCCGCTCCACGGCATGTGGGATCCTCCTGGACCAGGGCACAAACCCGCGTCCCCTGCATTGGCAGGCGGACTCTTAACCACTGCGCCACCAGGGAAGCCCCAGCTTAGTCCTTTTTAATTGAGCACTAAGGAGCATGTATAAAGATTGTTAAAACTGTTTAGAAATAATTTGAGGCCTATATGCACAGAAATCTCTGGTGTTCCTATACACCAACAATGAAAAATTAGGAAGAGAAATTAAGGAAACACTCCCATTTACCATTGCAAAAACATACAATACCCAGGAATAAACCTGCCTAAGGCAAAAGACTTGTAGTCACAAAACTATAAAACACTGATGAAAGAAATCAAAGATGACATAAACAGATGGAGAAATATACCATGTTCTTGGATTGGAAGAATCAATATTGTGAAAATGACTATACTACCCAAAGCAATCTACAGATTCAATGCAATCCCTATCAAACTACCAATGGCATTCTTCACAGAATTAGAACAAAAAATCTTACAATTCGTATGGAAACACAAAAGACCCCGAATAGCCAAAGCAATCTTGAGAAAGAAAAACGGATTTGGAGGAATCAGGTGTCCTGACTTCAAACCATACCACAAAGCTACAGTAATCAAGACAGTATGGTACTGGCACAAAAACAGAAATATAGATCAGTGGTACAGTATAGAATGCCCAGAGATAAACCCACACACATATGGGCACCTAATTTATGACAAAGGAGACAAGAACATACAATGGAGAAAAGACAGCCGCTTCAATAAGTGGTGCTGGGAAAACTGGACAACTACATGTAAAAGAATGAAATTAGAACACTACCTAACACCATACACAAAAATAAACTCCAAATGGATTAAAGACTTAAATGTAAGACCAGACACTGTAAAACTCTTAGAGGAACGGGCTTCCCTGGTGGCACAGTGGTTGCGAGTCCGCCTGCCGATGCAGGGGACACGGGTTCGTGCTCCGGTCCGGGAAGATCCCACATGCTGCGGAGCGGCTGCGCCCGTGAGCCATGGCTGCTGAGCCTGCGCGTCCGGAGCCTGTGCTCCGCAACGGGGGGCGGGGTGGGGGCCACAACAGTGAGAGGCCCGTGTACCACAAAAAAAAAAAAAAAAACAAAAAACTTAGAGGAAAACACAGGAAAAACACTCTTTGACATAAACCACAGCAAGATCCTCTTCCGAGGTTGTCAGAAGCCCTGCTTGGCCGTTCAGCCTCCTCTTCCAGGACTGGCAGTCGTCTGGAGGGGAAAAGCGGCTCCAAAAGCCAGGCTCCTCTCACTCGGAGGCCTGTGTTTCTCTCCTGCTTCTGACACCTTTGAGCAGATGTTTTCTATTTGTCTGGCTTTTCTAGTTGTCTGTGGAAGTTTGGTCTAAATTGTTTAGTCTTTCATTACTAGGATGTCTGCTTTACATGTTAACAGATTATTTTTTAAAAAACCTATGGGAGCAAGGCAGATGCAGGGGACCAGATAGGAGACTGTTACAGTAACCCAGGTGAGAGATGCTGGTGGCTTAGACCAGGGTGGTGGTGTGGTGGAGGAGGTGATGAGAAAGGATTGGAATCTAGGTGTATTTTGGAGGTATAACTAACAGGCAGGATTGGCCATTGGATATGGGGATGAAAGAAAGTGACCAATCAAGGACGACTCTGAGGTTTATAGCCTGAGGGTGAATGGTTGTGTCCTTTTCTAGGATCGTGATGACTAACAAAGGAGCAGTTTGGGGGGCAGAGGTGGGAGGGAAGGAAAAAGTACAGTTTAGGTCATGTCAAGAGTGAAATACCTCTTAGATGCCTAGGGGAGGTAGCCTGTGGATGGCTGGGGATAAGTGCCTGGAGTTTAGGGGAGATCAAATTTGGGGGTCATCAGCACAGAGGTTGCATTTTAAGCCCTGAGCCTGGATCAGCTCATCTGGGGGAGGACATAGATGTACCAGGACCGAGGACTGAGCCTGGGGCTTCTAACATCTTGAGGTTGGGGTGGTGGGAGGAAAACCGGAGTGTGGTAGGTGGGGGTCCTGAAAGCCTAGTGCGAGAGCACTTCCGAGGTCAAGTGAGATGCGGCCTTTGTGATGGGAATTTAAATTAGTTTTTTCCAGTTTGTCTTTTTTCTTTGTTTATGGTGTTTTATTCTAATTAAAATGTGTGTTTCTCTGTGCCTGGATGTAGAATCTTAGTTCTTTCATACTTCTGTCTTTGTGCCCTCTTTCCCATTCCAAGATTACCTGTGTCCATGTGGCCCCCATGTGTGCCCACGTGTGGGCCCAGAGCAGGGATATGTGGCTCCGGGGAGGGGTGAGCCCAGCATGGAGTCGTCGGATCAGTGTGCCTGAGCTGAGAAGGTGCTGGGGTCAGTGGTGGGGGAAGGGGACCCAGGCCCAGCCCCTCTTCGGGCCTTGGTTTCGCATCTGTGACCTTGAGGTGCTGGGGAGCAATCCTGGCTGTGAGGGAAGAGGCAGCCCCCAGTGAGCTGTGCAAGGCTGTGCCCCAGGGAGACGGGCATTTCCTCGGCACAGGCCAGTCTGACCAGCACCTAGGAGCTGAAGGGTTCACCCCTCGCTGCCCATGGACAGGTGGGGAGACTGAGGCCTGAGAACATTCCCACAGACCGTGGGGCCCTGGGAGGGGCTGTGGAACCCATCAGCCCAAGCCCTAAGCCCTGATGGCAGGGCAGGATCCCGGGGTGACTTGAAAAAATCCAGTCTTGAAGGGGTTGGGCCAGTGTGTCCCCAGTGAGATGAGGAGTGGCATCTGCCAGGCGAGGCTCCCAGCGCTGCCGGGAGGAACGGAGGGGCTGGCCCGGGCCTGGTTCTGCCTGTTGTAAATGAGCTACTGCTGCTGGGAGGACCTAGGGAATAATGGCAGCTGAAGCACTTTGTAAACTGAGAAGAACCTTATATACAGCCAGGGGCAGTGTAAATGGCATCACAATTTGCAATCTGTAGAGCGCTGTACACCTGTGAGTGGCTGGACTTGAGGGGGCAGCCCAGTGTGGTCTCAAAACTAACCTGCGGTTTGGTGGCAGCAAGTAGGCCACCCAGCTGTCCCCACTCCCCAGTGAATGCTGGCAGAGCAGCCCAGGTCAGGAGGCCAGGGCAGGGCAGCCAGGCCACTTACTCTGTGCCGTGTTCCCTAGAGCCATCCTCCAGCAGCACGGCTCACCCGTGGATGCCACCATCGCGGCTCTGGTCTGCACCGGGGTTGTCAACCCCCAGAGCATGGGCCTGGGTGGAGGGGTCATCTTCACTATCTACAATGCGTCCACAGGTGAGTCCATACGGGACCCCCGTGGGGAGGATGGGCTCGTCCACAGGTGCTAACAGTGAGGTCCTTTTAGACCACCTGAGAGTGTGGCCGACCTGCCCTGTCTACCCATGCCCCTTCCTGAGTCTCTTGGTGCCCCCCAACCTCTGCAAAGCCTAAACCAGCGCCGAGGCCAGTTCATGGTAGAGAAACTGAGGTCGAGAGCAGGGCCAGGGCTGTCTGAGGGGGACTGTTGGTGTGCAGTGAGGCCTGGCAGCCACCGGGGTGCCCCTGACACCCCACACGCCCTGCCCAACTCCAGGGAAGGTGGAGGTCATCAACGCCAGGGAGACGGTACCCGCCAGCCACGTCCCAGGTCTGCTGGACCAGTGCAAGCAGGCCCAGCCTCTGGGCACAGGTGAGGCCCTAGAGGGGCCACCCGCTCCCACCCCACCAGACCACTGGGGCTGAGCAGAACCCCCCACCCTGAAGGGGCAGCGCCCCTGATGGACAGCTGAACCACCCTGGCACTGAGGGGTGGCAGCTGGGGATGGGGAGCCCCTGCGGAGGTCCTGACTCCCCGGGTTTTCCCGGGGGAGGGCTCTCTGAGTTGGGAGGGACGATCCAAGCAGAGGGACCACCTCAGCCGAAGGCCCGGAGGGTTCAGTGGGGACAGGTTGGGGGGCTGGGGGTGGGGGGTGGGGATGGGGCCAGTTTTTCTGGGCCCCACAGGCCTGGCCATGGACTTTGTGCAGAGGGAAATGGGGAGGCACAGGAGTGTGAGGGGGGAGGGCCGTGGTCCCAGGTGGGCTCCAGAAGGCTCGCTCTGGCTGCCACGGCTGGGGGGCCAGGCAGCCAAGAGTGGAGTGACAGCCCCCGGGGGCCAAGGGGGGCGGCCCAGGGGCAGGGGCATGACACCTGTGCCGTGCAGGTGCCCAGTGGATCGGGGTGCCTGGGGAGCTCCGTGGCTACGCTGAGGCCCACCACCGCCACGGCCACCTGCCCTGGGCACAGCTCTTCAGGCCCACCATCGCGCTGCTCCGGGGGGGCCTCCGCGTGCCCCGCATCCTCAGCCGCTTCCTGCATAGCAGCTACCTGCGCCCTTCCCTGCACGCATCGTCCCTGAGGTGAGCTCCGATGGGGGCCCAGGGCCCCTCCTCAGCTCCTCCTCCAGCCAGCGGATCAACCTTCTGGGGGCCGGGGCCCTGGCTGGCCAATATGTCACTGAGCTATGTCACAGCTCAGAGACCTCCGGTTCCACGTGGCAGAACCTCATCAGAGGGCTCAGGCCAGAGACAGTTTATGCCAAAGTGATGGGGCTCCCAGGGTGCAGATTTGGGCCCTGCCCTCCCCCCCGCACCCACTCTCTCTGGGCTGGCAGGAGGGCTTTGGCCATCCCACTCGCCCACCCGGGCAGCCCACTGACCAGGAGGAATGCCGGGTGTCAGGCCCTGGGTGGACGCTGGCTTGGGGGGGGGGGCGTGTCCTCCCTGGGCCTGGGTGATGAGAGACATGAGGGGTGTCAGCCCCACCCAATCCTGGAGAATCTGCCCCCATGTCCACCACAGCCCCTCAGGACTCCAGACCAGGACTCCCTCCCTGTAGGGTCCCTGCAGAAGTGTGGCTGCCCTCCAGGACCTGGCCTCACCCTGAGGCTGCCCCCCACCCCCCAGGCAGCTCTTCTTCAATGGGACAGAACCCCTGAGTCCTCATGACCCACTCCCGTGGCCCGCGCTGGCCGCCACCCTGGAGACCGTGGCTGCGGAAGGCGCAGAGGCCCTCTACACAGGGAGGCTGGGCCAGATGTTGCTGGAGGACGTTGCCAAGGAAGGTCAGCACGTGAGGCCCCACAGCCCCGTTCCGCCAGAGAAAGAGGGGTTGGGCGCCAGGGCTGAGGGTGGGTCCGGCCCTCCCCTCCCCTCGCCCTGAGAGGGGGCCAGCTGCTCCCAGGGCTTGGAGAGGTCGTTGCCCAAGTCATGCCCACTGCTGGTCTCAGGGACCTTGCAGTCAAAGCCCCCGAGGAGCAGGACCCTGAGGGTTAGGGCCACGAGACAGGAGCTATCGGTGGCTGCAGGGGTGCTCCTGGGCCTGGAGTTGGCCACCCTCAGTCTCTCAGAGGCCAGCTTGCCTCCCCCCACTTCTCCCACTCTCCCCTCCAACCTGCCCGTCCCTGGCCTCTGTCCACCCATCCCCCAGCCCTGAGGCCACTGCCCACAGGCCCAGCACCACCCCTCTGAGCCTAGAAGGCTAGGGAACGAGGGGGGCCCCCACTGTGTAAACCAAGGTCCCTGGCTGACACTCTGCACCTCGTTTCCCCGTCTGTACATGGAGTCCTCTGTCTCACCCCAGGGAGCCTGCTGACCCCGCAGGACCTGGCATCATTCCGGCCTGAGGTGGTGGACGCCCTGGAGATGCCCCTGGGGGACTACACCCTGTACTCACCGCCACCGCCTGCAGGGGGCGCGATTCTCAGCTTTGTCCTCAATGTGCTCAAAGGTGAGGCCCCCAGGAGGCAGGGGGTCTGGCGCCCGTGAACTGAATTCCAGGCCCAGCCAGGCTCTGGGTAGCCACTGCCTCCTCCAGCTCAGCCCCCTCCTCAGATGCTGAAGACTGGGCTGAGGAGTGGGCCAGGACGGTGTGTTCTAGAGCTGGCCTCCAGTGTGGCCCACGCCTGGGCTCTGCTGAAGAGTCTGCAGTCATCTACCCACTAAGTGCCCCCAGGTGACCCCGGCGCAGGGCACAGGTGCAGTGGCTCTGCAGGTGGTGAGCTGCCGGTCCAGTGTGTGCAGCTAGGGCTGAGGCCCAGCCTATCGCAGCCTGCAAGGGGGTTGTGGGGTGCGGGAGGCATCCTGGCAGCGTCCAGAGATGGGGCTGCCTGATGCAGCCTGTGGCTGCCGTAACAAAGTATCACAAATTACCAAAATCTGGTGGCTCAGACAACAGAAATTTATTCTCTCATAGTTCTGGAGCCCAGAAGTTCAAAATCAGGGTGCCTGCAGGGCCACATTCCTTCCGGGGGGCCTGGGGGAGAATCTGTTCTTTGCCTCTTCCAGCTTCCGGCGTCTGCTAGCATTCCTAGGCTTGTGGCTGCATCCCTGCAGTTGCAGCCTCCCTCTTCTCTGTGTCTGTTTTATAAGGATACATGTGATTACATTTAGCGCCCACCCGGATAATCCAGGATAATCCACTCCTCTCAAGATCCTTAATTTAATCACACATTTGCCATACAAGGTAATATTCACTCTTTTTCCATGTAAGGTTTTCACAGGTTCTGAGAATTAGAACATGGACAAATCTTTCTCAACCCACTACACAGGATGACCCCCACCTGCGCCCACCCCCTCCCCAGGGTTCAACTTTTCCGCGGAGTCAGTGGCCAGGCCCGAGGGGAGGGTGAACTTGTACCATCACCTCGTGGAGACACTCAAGTTTGCTAGGGGGCAGAGGTGGCGGCTGTGGGACCCTCGAAGCCACCCGGAGGTCCAGGTGAGGTGCCCTGAGCTGGTGGAGAGCCCCCTTCTCTGCCCCAGGGCTCGGCATGAAGGGAGGGTCAGGCCGACGGGTGCTCCATCCACAGACCCTGAGAGCCTGGCGGGTGAGGCTGGAGGGGTGTGTACATGGTTGGTTCTAGAACCGGATGGCCTGGCAGTGGGCCAGAGCAGGGAGGGTACAGCAGTCTGGGGACTGAAGGGAGCCCCGGAGGGGCAGGTACGGGAAGACAGTGGTGGCGCTGCATCTCTGACTCCCTTAGGGGACCTTCTGCTCTGTGACTCCACCTGTCCTCTCACTGACCCTGTCACCTGTCTGCCCACCCCAGAACGCCTCCCAGGACCTGCTGGGGGAGGCTCTGGCCCAGCACATCCACCAGCAGATCGACACCCGGGGTGACCACCAGCTCAGCCACTACAGCCTGGCCGAGACCTGGAGCCACAGGATGGGCACGGCCCACGTGTCCGTGCTGGGCGAGGATGGCAGCGCTGTGTCTGCCACCAGCACCATCAATACGCCGTACGTGGGGCCGGGGGCAGGCGGGCAGGCCCCACTCCACCCCCTAGACCTCAGCCCTCCACCCCCAGCCTGGCCTCCCAGCACCTCCCTGGCTGTGTCCATCGAGTGGTACCTTGTTTTCCCCTCTCCTGTGTCAAAAGGGTCCTACACCCTGACACCTCTGGCCGAAAAGGCTGCTGATGGGGTGGCCCTGAGCCGGGATGAGGACGGGCCTTACAAGCAGGAGGATGCCGTGGTGGGGGACAAGGTGGATCTTTGGGGGCAGGGCCAGGGAGGGAAGAGCAGCTCCAGGATGCTGGAGGACAGCTGCTAAAACGAGGAGCTTCTGGAGCGCTGGGGTGCAGCCCACGTGTGTCGGGAGCCCACGGCCTGCGCCCAGCTCTGCCTCTGTCCACAGCTTTGGAGCCATGGTGTACTCACCGCGCACGGGCATCCTCCTCAACAACGAGCTCCTGGACCTGTGCTGGAGGCACCGGCGGGGCTCCGGAGTCACCCCCCCTCCCGGTGAGCACAATGCCCCCGGGAGAGAGGAGGGAAGGCAGGAAGGCCGGGCAGGCCCAGCACAGAGACGGGGATGGAGGGGGTGGCCCCGGGGGGCGCTGGCTCGGAAGCGAGGCTGCACTGATACCTGTCCGGCCTCCAGTTCCAGGTGAGCGGCCCCCTTCATCCATGGTCCCCTCCATCTTGGTCAACGCAGCCCAGGGGTCGAAGCTGGTGATCGGCGGGGCTGGCGGGGAGCTCATCATCTCTGCTGTGGCCCAGGTGAGTCTGGGGGCTCCTGGATGGGACGTGCCCTTGCTGGGCGGCCCTGTTGTCCTCATGTCCTGGGAGGGGTTGGGGAGGGTGGCTGGTGCCCCTCCCTCCCTCCCTGCCTGCATCCTTCTCTCCCCAAACAGGCCATCATGAACAAGCTGTGGCTGGGCCTTGACCTGCAAGCTGCCATTGCAGCCCCCATCCTGCACGTGGACAGCAAGGGCCGGGTAGAGTACGAGCCCAGCTTCAGCCAGGTGAGGCCGTGGGCCGAGAGGCCGCTAGACAGACGCCTCAGCGCTTGCCTTCAGAGCCCCTGGTGGGGCCTCAGCTTTTGAGTGTGCCCGGTGCACTTTGGCTCTGGGGGCCACCAGGAGTTGAGAAGCTCCATGGGGGAGGCAACAGGCAGCTGGTCTCCACGGCAGGGGACAGGGTGTTGTTCACACGACTCCCAGAACGAGCTCCCCTGCACCCTGGGCCCTGCTCTTTCTGGGCCATTCTATCCGGAAGCTACTTTCCCCGGCTGAGGCCTCTCGGACCCTCCCTCATGGTGATCTGCTTCCTTGCGCGATCTGCAGCTTTTATCTGCGGGTTTATTTCTCAAGGAGTCTATTATTCCTGGGAGTCTGCAGAGGGATCTCCCTCCATGGCATTGGGTTCTTGGTTCCCCACACAAGCAGGCCCAGGAGCTGAATTCTCTTGTGCGACTCCCAGCCCCTCCCCTCCTCCTGGGCAGATGGCTGGCCTCCTTGGAAGGTCTCTGGGCTGGCAGATGCCCTCACTAGGACCCACTTTAAAGGACTAGCAGCTTTTCAAGACTCCAAACTTCATGCCCAGGGTCCATTCAAGCAGCTGGGGTTCAAGGTCATCAAAGCTGCCTTTCCTGTTATGAGCTTCTCTGGTCTCAAGGCCGCCTCCCAGGGCCCTTGGAATTTTGAGGACCACAGAGTGAGGGGCCTTGAGTCCAAGGGGGTGTGTAGTCCTGAGAACCTTGGTCTTTGGGCCTGGAGACTAAGGACCTCAGCCCGTCAGGCCCAAACTCTCAGAGTCCGAGGCCCTCCCTCCCAGCCTCCCTCCCTCCCTGTGCAGGGTCCTCCCCGTGGCAGGAGGGCTTGATGCTCTCCCAGGACTCATCCTCTTAGGCCCTTCTCCTTGACCTTGACTGAAGGTCTTTACTCTGTGAACACCATTCTCCAAGGACCTCAACTCTGAGAATTTGGACCTGACAGCCTGGAATCCAGAGAACCCCGAGCCCACGGCCCTCAGCTCCCTGGAAGGTTAGCGTGTTGGCCACACAGGTCAGGACCTCCCATGGAGAACATCTGAGGCACTGGGTGGAGACCTGGAGTCTCCAAGGGCCCTCAGAGCCAAGGCCCAGGCCTGAGGCCAGGAGGGTCCTTGTTCCTCAGGGCCTTGGAGTTTGGCCACTACGACGCTAAAGAATGGTCTCTGAGGACCACAGGTCCTGCTGTGGCTGTGAGGAGCTGGGCCTTCCAACCTAAGGACACTAGGTAATTAGCACGTCAGGCAGAGACACACCCAAGGCCATAGCGCCTGGAGACCTCGCCGTACCCATGGCTCAGGTCCTGGAGGCCCTGGTCCTGGGGACTGCAGGGCACCTGGAACTGAGGGCCCTGGTGGGCGGGGGTCCTTGGCCTTAAGTGGGAATGCGGGGCCCGAGTAACACAGGTCTCCACGTGCCAGGATCTGTGTGAAGAGTCACCGACTGGCAAGTGTGGGGACCAGGCCCCGAGGCAAGTTACTCGGGCGCTCAGACACCAACACCTGGGCCCTGACGCCCTCCAATTCCACACACTCACCGTCTCAGACCTGAGCCTTTACAGCCCGTGCTCGTAGTGCCTCGCCCTTGGGGACCGCTGGTGCCTGTGGCCTGGGGTCCATGTCCTTGGACTCATGGGTGTTCAGCAGCCTCTAGCTGACTCCTCCACCAGCGGGGCGGGGCCCTGGAGAGTCTGGAACACCCGTCTTCTCATGCTGGTGTTGAGACGGCAGGTCCTGAGCTGCCAACAATGCTGGCACCAGGGCTATCCCTCCTGTCCAGGGCAGGAGCCAGATGTTGAGCTGGGCCTTTCTTATGTATGGGTGACCTGGGACTCCAAAGGGCCCAAGCTCTGCCTTCTAGAAGACTTTGCTTTCAAGGTCCTCAAAACGTTGAAAGCTATCTTCTCCACAGAAGCCCTTGGACTCCTTGGTTGTCACGTTGAGGCCCCTGGTGTCCTTGATCCAGGACAGAAGTGAACCTGCATCGCAGCTTCCTTCTAGTCCAGGCGATGTCCTCCTGTCATATCCCCTGGAGCCCAGGCTTCTCTCTGGGGCCTTTGGAGTGGGAGGCCGTAGACTCCATGCCTGCAGACAAGGCTGCGTCCAGCGCCCCTCTGTCCTCTCCCAGACCGCCCCTGCCAGTCCTGCCTCCTCGGCCAGGGTCCTCAGCTCCCTGCCCGGGTCCCAGCCCCTCCATGACCAGCCTTCTCTCCTCTCCAGGAGGTGAAGAAGGGGCTCCAGTACCGGGGCCAGAGCCAGACCGAGAGGCCCGTTTTCCTGAACGTGGTCCAGGCCGTGTCCCAGGACGGGGCCTGCGTGTACGCCGCAGCGGACCCCAGGAAGGGTGGGGAGCCCTCAGGCTACTAAAGAGGCTGCTCCCTCCCCAGAGCTGGGATCCCACCCAGCAAACGTCCAGGCTAGCCTGGTCCGGCAGAATCTGGACCCCTTGGCTGGACGGTCAGCCTGGGGCTTCAAGAGGTGGGGACAGCCCAGCAGATGGACGGCTGTGGGGGCTGAGCCCTGCCCTCCCAGAGCCCCTGTGGCCCTGCCCTGACCCCTCCAACCTCCCCAGGCCTCTCACCCAGGACTGGGCCCCCACTCCCCGAAACCCCATTCCCCACCTGTGTATCTTCCAGTCCAAGATTAAAGAAAAGGCTGCACCACGCCTGATTCAGGGTCGAGGTGGGGAGGGGACCTTCAGAAAGCACGTGCAGTGAGCTGCAGCCCTCCACACACACCACCACGGAGCCAGGGAAACCAGACACGGGCTGGGCCTTCTCCAGGCCACCCCTGGACACCTGCTTGGGCTCCGCACACGCCGTTGGGAGGAAGGCAGGGGTGTGGCCTGGGGGCACCTGTCCCTGGCTCCTGGGGGCCCTTGGCCCAGGCCCGTCCTGGAGCTTGTCCTCCGTGCCAGGAAAAGGCTGGATGAAGCGAGACCTAAGCCCTCCCCAGCCCCCAACTCCAACATGTTCTCACCCTCAGCACTGTTGATGTTTTGCGTGAGTCATTCTTCGCGGGGGTGCTGTCCACGCACTGTAGGCGGTGCAGCAGCATCCCTGGCCTCCCCTTGCTAGGTGCAGGGTCACCCCACCCCCACAGCCAGTCACCAAACCACCCCCGATTGAGACCCGCGAGCCCCCAGCCACCGTGGATGGCTCTGCCAGCTCCCGAGTGTGCCACCCTCCCTGGGGGGGGGTGGGTCCTGCCCCATGCCGAGTCCTGGGAGCATTGGGAGTTCCTGTTTCACCCCAAACATCCCACAGGGGTGTACCTCCGCCTGGAAGGGCGCCACTACAGATCCATCACCTCCCATTCTGCCTGGAGTTCAGCCGCACAGGACGGGCTGGGTGTTGCTCCTGTGCCTGCTGGGACAGAGCACTACACACCGAGGGCCTTCAGACAACAGACCCCCTCGCCGCAGTGCCTCCCAGCTGCATCCCCAGAGCATGAGAACGGTGTCCCTGCACTCCTGACTCACCCTCTGCCATCCCTGGGACCCTCACCGTCCCCTGGAGCCTCAGTTACCACTTGTGAACTGATGGGTCCCCGCCCAGGCTCTAGCCCAGGTTTCTGGACCATCAGACTCACATACCCACTCACCCGCCCACCTCCCACCTCCAGAGCACCTGGGATCCACAGGCACCTCGGACTCAATACACCCAACCAGAAGCCAGCTCTGAGGCAGCCGGAAGTTCTCTGGTGCCCCCCTCTCCCCCCTCCATGATAGTCACCCAGTCCTCTCCCTCCATATGCGTGGCTTGGCCTTGGTTCCATCCCTTCGTCCCTTTCTGCCTCCTTGCCGCTGCCACAGCCTCGATCCACTCCCTACTCGTGACAGTGATGAGCCTTGGAAAATGCATACCTGATCCTGCCATGAGGCCACACAGAGCCCTCCTTGGCTTCTGGGGGCCCCTGGAGGAAGCCCATTCCTCTTGCTCCCTGCTCATCCCACCCTAGGTTACTTGCCTGGCCCCTGCCCACATCCCTCTTGGACCACAAGTAATGCCAACCAAGATGCATTCCCAGCCCAGTTAGCGACTCTTACAGCCTCTTTAAACATCTTGTTACCCAGAGGAAATCAAAGCGGTATCTTCAAAATAACATTCACATCAATACAGATCAGCCCCCACAGAATATAGCTAAAGCAGGGCTCAGAGGAAAATATATTGCCTTAAATAGTTACATTAATAATAATCAAAACAAAATATCTAACATACCAAGTTAGTAAAAGAACAACCAGAACAGTAAGGAAGGCAAGAGGAAGAATTTAGTAACAACTGAAGCAGAAATTGATAAACTTGAAGTCAGAAGAACAGATCTTTGAAAAAGATATATAAGCTATTAGCTAGCCAATTAGTAAAAATGAAGGACGTGTAAATACACACAAAAAAGAAATGAGAACGGGGAAATAACCTAAGCTATAGAGGAAGTTAGAAGTACTAGAAAAGATTACTCATTTTAATAAAAATAACTTTGGAAACTTGACAAAATAAATTACTTTCTAGGATGATGTAAGTAGAATTGCGATACTTAACACATACTAAAAACATTGGCACTTATCTGAAATTCAGATTTAATCGGGCAGGCTTTATTTTTACTTGCTAAATCTGGCAAGCTTAAGTATAAATGACAAACGGGTCCAAGAAAGAGCAAAGGTCTAGACATGTCAGTGATCACAAAAAAAACTGAGAACGTGGCAGGAACACTGGTCTATCTCAAATGCCCTTCTGGAAAGTTTCCCAGGCGAAGTGTGTCCTGCCGTTAGGATCAGAGGCCTGTCTTGCCAGTCAAGCCGCCACAGTGTAGAGCCCGGAGGAACATTTCCACATTCACTTTATGAAGTCAGCATAGGACTAGCCCCAAACTTGGCAAAGCACACCAAAGGCCAGTTGTGTTTGGGAAACAACACAAAACTCCTCAAACAAATACAAGCAAGGAGACTCCAAGCAACACATTCAAAAGGACAGGGTGTCCGGGTGGGGCCAACACCACTACTGATGGGAATGTCCGTGAGAGGGACTTGTACTCCTTTCACCAGAGGAGAAAAATCACAGAGTCCTCTCCATGGAGAGGCATTTGACAAAATTCAGCACTCATTCTTTTTTTTTTTTTTTGCTGTACGCGGGCCTCTCACTGTTGTGGCCTCTCCCGTTGAGGAGCACAGGCTCCGAACGCGCAGGTTCACGGGCCCAGCCGCTCCGCGGCATGTGGGATCCTCCCGGACCGGGGCACGAACCCGTGTCCCCTGCATCGGCAGGCGGACTCTCAACCACTGCGCCACCAGGGAAGCCCTCAACACTCATTCTTGATTTAAAAAAACAAAACAAAACAAAAAACCCACAGACAAAACAACAACAGAACACTGAATAAAATGGAAATAAATGGATATTCCCTTAACATGAATAAATATCTCAAAACAACAGTAACATCTGTTGGACACACCACGGCTAGGTGCTACTCTATTGCTTTACATGTATTAATTCACGTAATTCTCCCTAATGAAAGGGAGCTATGAAGAGGCCCATCTTACAATGAGAGTACTGATGTACTGAAGCTCCCAGGGCCCTGTGGAGTAAGTGCCAGAGGTGGAAACTGGGGAGACAGATGGAGAAAATGAGTCTTGACCCCTACCTCATACCATATACAGAAATTAATTCGAGATGAATCTTATTGGGAAAACTAAAATAAATGCTTGGGCAGCCAGTCCAGAATCATTTATTACAAAGACATTCATTTTCCTCATTGAATTGCATCAGTGCTTTTGTGAAACAAACCAAAAAACTCAAGTAAACCAAGCCATCAGATTGAAAAACACACTGTAAACATACAGTAGGTTAAAACAGCATATGAATAAACCTCAGAAATCAACCAACCACAACACAAAGTTCACAAAGAAATGCAAATATATGGGGATTTTGTCTGCTGAAAGAGCATTTCAAAGCAGCAGGAAAAAGATGAACTGCTGACAATCAGTATTAGAACAAGTGGGTAGCCACCTGGAAAACAGTAAAGTGGGACCCCGGCCTTTTATTTATACCAAATTAAATGCCAGTTGGACCAAAGATTTAAGAGTTAAAAATGAAACCATACAAATACTGTAAAAAAATGGGAGAAAAAAATTTTATTTATGTTCTTAGAGTAGGGAAGTCCTTTTTTAGGCATGACATAAAATCAAGAAGCCACATTAAAGGGACTTTCCTGGTGGTCCAGTGGGTAAGACTCCACACTCCCAATGCAGGGGGCCTGGGTTCGATCCCTGGTCAGGGAACTAGATCCTGCTTGCTGCAACTAAGAGTTCGCGTGAGGCAACTAAAGATCCCACGTGCCACAACTAAGACCTGGCGCAGCCTAAATTAATTAATTAAAAAAAAAAAAGAAGCCATACTAAGGAAAGGATAAATTGGGACTTCCCTGGCAGTTCAGTGGTTAAGACTCTGCCCTTCCAATGCAGGGGGCAGGTTTGATCCTTGGTCGGAGAACTAAGATCCCACATGCCATGCAGCGTGGCCAAAAAATTAAAAAAAAAAAAAAGAAAAGAAATTTGAACACATAAAAATTTTAAATTTTGATGTGAAAAATATTTCAAAAGACCAATGAAAACCGTGTGGAAAGACAGTTTCAGTACGTGATCTGGGGCTGGTTACTTTAATATTTAATATCAAAGACCAAGTATCCATTAGAAAGATGCACGGGGATATGACTCATTAGACCACAGAAAGAGAACTACAAATCGCCATTTCAACATATAAAGAATTGCTCAACCTCACTGATAAATGCGCCAATGAAAAAAACAATGAGATCCACAGGGACAAAGCAAACGGCTCCAGCCCAAAGGCTTCCTCTGTGAACGCTTCCAAACACTGATGCAACAAAAAACACCAGTCTTACACTAACTCTTCCTGAGAACAGAACAGAGAAAACACTGCCCAACTTTTAATAAGGCCAGCATAATCCTGAGAACAAAACCTGACAAAGAAACTTCATGAAAGAAAAGTAGAGGGTGATTTCATTCATGCACAGATGCAAGATTCCTAAATGAAATCTGAGCAAGCCAAATTCATATATAGAAATTCATCACTACCAATCTGGGTTTATTCTGGGAATGCGTGATTGGTTGAACATTACAAAAACAAGCAATGCAATTCACTGTATTAACATGCTAATAGAATAAAGAAGAAAAATCATTCACCATCTCAATAAATGCAGAAAAGCATTTGATAAAATCTGCCAACTTTCACAATAAAAATTCTCAGTAACTAGAAATAGGAGAAAACTTCCTTCATTTTATAAGTTGCGGCCACAAAACCCTACAGTAAACATCATACTTCATGGTAAAACATACAAGCCTTCCTTTTGAGATTGAGACCAATTCCTTTTGAGATGGAAACATGCATTGCTAGCTTTCATCATTTCCTTTCCGTACTGAAAGAGAAGTCCTTGCCAGGGCAATAAGGTGAGAAAAAAGAACAAAAGGTATAATTGGAAAGGAGGACATAAAACTGTCAATATTTGTAGATACTTAACTGTTAGAATTAAGTCAACTGAACAAGATCACTGGAATCAAGGAAAATATACAAAAATCAATGATATTTCTACATCATTCACAAATAGAAAACACTTTTTTGAACTGAAATCAGTTACAATAGCATTAAAAAAAAAATCCACGCCTAGAAGTAAAACTAACAAGTAGGCAAGACCTCTACACTGAACACTGCAAAATATAACCGAAGAATTTGAAGAAAACGAATAAATGGAGGATTATACTACATTCACGGACTAGAAGGCTTAGTGCTGTGAAGATGCCAATTCTCCCCACATTCACCTATAAATCCAATGCAATCCTAATAAAAATCCTCACAGGTTTGTGTGTGTGTATGTGTGTGTGTGTGGAAATTGGCAAGCTGATTCTAAAATTCATATGGAAACACCAAGGACCAGGACTAGCCCAGGCAATCTTGAGGAAGAACATGAAGGAGAGGGACCTCCCTGGTGGTCCAGTGG